TTAATGGCTGAGTCATATTCCATTGCATCCACTCATCTGTCGATGGACACTTGGGGCTCTTTCCATAGTTTGGCTATTGTTGATAATGCTTCTATAAACATCAGGGTGAATGCAGCCCTTTGAATCTCTCTGTATCCTTGGGTCAATACCTAGTAATGTAATTGTTGGATTGTAGGGAAGGTCTATTTTTAAGTTTTTGAGGAAACTCCATACTATTTTCCACAGCGGCTGCACCAGTTTGCATTCCCACCAACAGTGCAAGAGGGTTCCCCTTTCTCTGAATACTCGCCAACATCTGTTGTTTCCTGTGTTGTTAATTTTAGCCATTCTGACAGGTGTGCGGTGGTATCTCATCATGGTTTTGATTTGTATTTCCCTGATGATGAGTGATGTTGAGAATCTTTTCATGTGTCTACTAGCCATCTGGATGTCTTCTTTGGAGAAATATCTACCATGTCTTCTGCCCATTTCTTAATTGGATTATTTGTTTTTTGGGTGTTGAGTTTGAGAAGTTCTTTTTAATTTTGGATACTAACCCTTTATCAGATATGCCACTGGCAAGTCCCAATCATAGGCTGCCTTTTAGTTTTGTTATTTCCTTTGCTGTGCAGAGGATTTTTATTTTGATGATGTCCCAATAATTCATTCTTCCTTTTGTTTCCCTTGTCTCAGGAAATGTATCTAGTAAAAAGTTGCTACTGCTGAGGTCAAAGAGGTGGCTGCCTGTGTTCTCCTCTAGGATTTTGATGGTTTTGTGTCTCACATTTGGGTCTTTCATCCATTTTGAATTTATTTTTGTATATGGTCTAAGAAAGTGGTCCAATTTCATCCTTTTGCATGTTGCTGTCCCAGTTTTCCCAATATCATTTTTTGAAGAGACTGTCATTTTCCATTGGATTTTGTTCCTGCTTTGTGATAGGGATTGCATTAAATGTGTAGATTGCTTTGGGTTGTATAGACATTTTAACAATAATTGTTCTTCCAATCCATGAGCATGGAATGTTTGTTTTTCCACTTTTTTGTGTCCTCTTCAATTTCTTTTATAAGTTTTCTATAGTTTTAGAGCACAGATCACTTTGGTTAGGTTTTGGTGCAATTGTAAATGGGATCAATTCCTTGATTTCTTTTTCTGTTGCTTCATTATTGGTGTATAGACAAGCAACATATTTCTTCTGTATGCTGATTTTATATCCTATGACTTTGCTGAATTCATGTATTACTTCTAGCATTTTTTTTGGTGGAGTCTTTCGGGTTTTCTACAGAGTATCATGTCCTCTGCAGATAGTGAAAGTTTGACTTCTTCCTTCCTGATTTGGATGCCTTTTATTTCTTTTTGTTGTCTAATTGCTGAGGCTAAGACTTCCAGTACTATGTTAAATAGTAATAGAGTGGACATCCCTGTCTTGTTCCTAACCATTGAGGAAAAGCTGTTTTTGTCCACTGAGGATGATATTAGCTGTGGGTTTTCATATATGGCCTTTATGATGTTGAGGTGTGTTCCAACTATACCTTTGTTGAGGGTTTTTAATTAAGAAAGGATGCTGTATTTTGTCATGTCCTTTTTCTGCATCTATTGAGAGGATCATATGGTTCTTATTCTTTCTTTTAATGTGGTGTATCATGTGGATTGATTTGCAAATATCGAACCACCCCTGAAGCCAGGAATAAATCCCACTTGATCATGGTGAATAATCCTTTTAATGTACTGTTGAATTCTATTTGCTAGTATCTTGTTGAGAATTTTTGCATGCATGTTCATCAGGGATATTGGTCTGTAATTCTCCTTTATAGTGGGGTCTTTGGTTTTGGAATCAAGGTAATGCCGGACTTCTAAAATGAGTTTGAAAGTTTTCCTTCCATTTCTATTTTTGGATCATTTGATAATAAGTATTAACTCCTCTTTAAATGTCTGGTAGAGGGGCACCTGGGTGGCTCACTCAGTTGGGTGTCTTTTAGTCTTGGCTCAGGTCTTCATCTCAGGGTTGTGAGTTTGAGCCCCACACTGGGCTACACATTAGGTGTGGAACCTACTAAGGAAAAAAAAAAAGAAAAGAAAAAAGAAAAAGAAAAAAAAAAAGGTCTGGTAAAATTCCCCTGGAAAGCCAACTGGGCCTGGGTTTTCATTTGTTGGTAGATTTTTGATTACAGATTTGGTATCATTGATGGTTATGGGTCTGTTCAAATTTTCGATTTCTTCCTGTTTCAGTTTTGGTAGTTAGTATGTTTCTAGGAATTAGTCTTCCGGATTGCTCAGTTTGTTGGCATTTTTCATACTCTCCTGTAATTGTGTTTCTGTGGTGTTGGTTGTGATCTCTCCTCTTTTGTTGTGATTTTATTTATTTCTCCTATTCATTTGTGATCTTTTCTTTTTGATAAGCCTGGCTAGGGTTTTATCAGTTTTATTAATTTTTTCAAAGAATGAGTTCTTATTTTCATTGGTCTGTTCTACTGTTTTTGGTTGCTTTGCCTTTTCTTTTTTGCTTCTATATTGTTTATTTCTGCTCTAATTTTTATTATTTCCCTTCTTCTGCTGGTTTTAGGCTTTATTTGCTGTTCTTTTGCTAGCTCCTTTAGGTATAAGGTTAGGCTGTATATTTGAGACTTTTCTTGCTTCTTGAGGTAGGCTTGTATCACAATATATTTCCCTCTTAGGATCACCTTTGCTGCATCCCAAAGGTTTTGGATTGTTGTGTTTTCATTTTCATTTGCTTCCATGTAGTTTTTTGTTTTGTCTTTAATTTTCTGGTTAACCCATCCATTCTTTAGTAGGATGTTCTTTAATCCCCATGTATTTGTGGTCTTTCCAAAATTTTTCTTGTGGTTGACTTCAAGTTTCATAGTATTGTAGTGTGAAAATATGCATGGTATGATCTCAAACCTTTTGTAGTTATTGAGGACTGATTTGTGATCTGGTATGTGATCTATTCTGGAGAATGTCCCATCTGCACTTGAAAAGAATGTGTATTCTGCTGCTTTAGGATGAAATGTTCTGAATATATTTAAGTTCATGTGTCCAGTGTGTCATTCAAAGCCATTGTTTCCTGGTTTTTTTTTTTTTTTTTTTGCTTAGAAGATATGTAGGGGTACTATTATTTTACTATCATCAATGAGTTTATGTTTGTTACTTTTTTTTTAAAGATGTTATTTATTTGAGAGAGACACAGTGAGAGAGGGAACACAAGCGGAGGAGTGGAAGAGAGCGAAGCAGGCTTCCCACTGAGCAGGGAGCCCAATGCAGGGCTTGATCCCAGAACCCTGGGATCATGACCTGAGCTGAGGGCAGATGCTTAATGCCTGAGCCACCCAGGCGCCCCTTTATGTTTGTTATTGATTTATATATTTGGGTGCTCCCAAGTTGGGGGATAAATATTTACAACTGTTAGATCTTCTTGATGTGTTGACCCCTTAATTATGATTTTCTTCATCTCTTGTTACAGTCTTTAGATTAAAAATCTAGTTTGGCTGAAAACAAGTATGGCTATTCTGGTTTTCTTTTGATGTCCATTTACATGATAGTTTTCTCCATCTGCTCACCTTCAATCTGCAGGTGACTTTAGGGTCTAAAATCAGTCTCTTTTAGGCCCCATGTAGATGGGTCTTGTGTTTTTTTTATCTTGTGATACCCTATTTCTTTTGATTGGAGCATGCAGTCCATGTACATTGAGTGATTATTGATTGATAGATATGAATTTAGTGCCATGTATTACCTGTAAAGTTGGTTATTTTTGGTGGTGTTCTCTGATCCTTTCTAGTCTTTGTTGCTTTTGGTGTTTGTTTTTTTTTTCCCCCAAAGAACCCCCTTTAATATTTTTTGCAGGGCTGGTTTAGTGGTCATGAACTCCTTTGGTTTTTGTCTGGGATTTCTCTATCTCTTCCTCTATTCTGAATGACAGCATTGCTGGATAAAGTATTATTGACTGCAAATTTTCCCATTAAGCATGTTGAATATATCCTGCCATTCTCTTCTGGCCTGCCAAGTTTCTGTGGACAGATCTGCTGCAAACCTGATCTATACTCCCTCGCAGATTAGGGATTTCTTTTCCCTTGCTGCTTTCAGGATTCTTTGTGTATTTTATGACTATGATAGGTCTTGGGGATGGCTGGCTTTTGTTGAATGGGCGTTCTCTATGCTTCTTGGATTTCGATGTCTGTTTCCTTCCCCAGATTGGGGAAGTTTTCAGCTATAATTTGCTCAAATAAATCTTCTGCCCTTTTTCTCTCTTCTTTTTCTGGGACTCCTATGATATGAATATTCTTACGCTTTAAGGAGTTGCTGAGTTTCCTAAGTCAACATTCGTGATCCAATCTTTCTTTCCTTCTTCTTTTCAGCCTCATTATTTTCCATAATTTTATCTTCTATATCACTGATTCATTCATCCTCATCATTGCATCCAGTCAGTTTTGCATCTTGGTTATGGAATTTTTTATTTTGGCCTGACTAGTTTTTAGTTCTTTTATCTCTGCATTAAGGGATTCTCTAGTGTCTTCTTTGCTTTTCTCAAGCCCAGCTAGTATTCTTATAATTGTTGTTTTGGGATAGGCTGGGGACCCAGCACTTGTGACTGGTACCTGAAGTGATTGTTGTCTGGTGGGACTGAGCCCTTAAACCTGTGGAATCTGATGCTAACGATTTGGAGTTAATGTCACAATAGGATTGAACCATAGGATGCCCAGTTGCTGTCAGAATCAAAATGGTGTCAGAAACACCATTTAGGGGCGCCTGGGTGGCTCAGTTGGTTAAGCGACTGCCTTCGGCTCAGGTCATGATCCTGGAGTCCTGGGATCGAGTCCCACATCAGGTTCCCTGCTCAGCGGGGAGTCTGCTTCTGCCTCTGACCCTCCCCCCTCTCATGTGCTCTCTCTCTCTCTCATTCTTGCTCTCTCAAATAAATAAGTAAAATCTTTAAAAAAAAAAAAAAGAAACACCATTTAGTATATAACATATTTTGGCAGTATTTCATGTTTAAGATTACAAAGAAATATTAAATTCACAAACTTTGTTTCTTATATTATTTTTTATTTATATTTTTTGAGATGTCTAATAATATCATCTAGTGAAAAATGAGAAGGTAACTTCATGCAGTTCAAAATCAGAACATGACTTTTTTTCATCACAGTAAATAAATCAAGCATACACTATTACATGAAGTAATAAAACTTCCTGGAAAGAATACAAACAGATATACTAATTGGCACTCAAAAATTTTATTTATTTTTATAATGTATGCACATGAAATGAGATTGTATACAAATTTGTAGACCAAAGCCTACCCAGATACCAGGACTCATATAAAAATATTTTAAGGCAAATTTTGTTGATTTATTTCTAAATAAGGCAAGTGAAATGTAGATTCATAATTAAACAAGATTTTCAATAACTTCTGGTCATTGTATGGTGAGAAAATATGAACATCAAATTTTTGAGTATTATTGTACAAAACTGAAAACAAATGCTTTCCAAATTGTAGCAAAATGAACTCCCCCAATATAATACCATTAAGTCTACAAAGACACTAGCAAGTTATATGATGGCATCCAAATCCTATAATGCTTCCTCAATGTAAATTTTGGAACATTCTGAATACTTTTATAAGCCCACTTTTCAAAAATGTCATTGGAAAAATACTGAAATCCAAAGAACTTCTGTTACTTTAAGTGGTTAACCTAACAAAACAAATGTACTTTTCTAGGTTAATGTAATTCAAGTACAGTAGTACTAAAGGTAACACATCATTTTAATGAAACCTAATCTTTCTGAGGAAAAGCAAGTCATAAAGTTAAACAAAAGTGGAAAACTAGTATTAGAATCAGCTGCATCGGTTTAGTTAAAGAGTACTTATTTTAAAGTTTTACCAGAAAAAATCTTAAAGCTCTTTCTCTTCTTTGGAGCTTAAACAGTAGATTGTATTCTAATCACTCAACAATTAATTTTCTATAGCTATCTCTTTAATTTTTATACCTGCCAATGTGTTCACGGGCTATAATAAGTCTTTGAATTTGTGCTGTACCTTCATAAATCTGCAAGAAAAAAGAATACATGTAGGTGAAATATCTTCATAAATACTTCGACTTACTCAGTATTTTGGACAGTACTATAAGCTCCACTGTAATACCAAATTGAATCAAACCATATATAGGGTCTGTAATCCACAGAGATTCTGAAACCTGACTTTGTAAAGCCATGAAAATATAATTCTCTAAAGATTAAATTATAAAAAGTCATTTACCAAAATTTTGGGAGAGAGTCTTAAATCAAAGGATATCAACATTTCAAAAAGTTTGGGAAATCTAAAGTTTAATGTTGCAAAAATATTTATCCAACTTTTCTGAACTGTAAAGCTAGTTGTCATCTTCTGTCATTTTCCATTTTTACTCTTACACCTGGTTTTCTCTCTTGCTAAGGAACAGAGTTGCTAAAGAAAAAGACGCTGGAAGGATTTGGTTTTAATTTGGACATTCCTAGTAGCCAGTCCTTACTTCCAGTTTAAACCTCTAACCCTAGCAATTTATTACTATCAAATGGTTACTATCACTTTATCACTATCTCTTCATGTTGTTTTACTCCCAAATATGGTTGTTTTTTTTTTTAGATTTTATTTATTTATTTGACAGAGAGAGAGAGGGAGCAAGCACAAGCAGGGCAAATGGCAGGCAGGGGAGAAGCAGGCTCCCCGCTGAGCAAGGAGCCCGATGTGAGGCTCAATCCCAGGACCCTGGGATCATCACCTGAGCCAAAGGCAGCCATTTAACCAACTGAGCCACCCAGGTGCCCCCCAAATATGGTTTCAATTAATTCAATAGTTGTCAAGCAAGATTCAAAATAAAATAATTTATTTTAAATGATATGCATACTTTTAGGAGAGCAAAGGGTGGATTACAATTGGCTAGGATGTTAAGACTCAAAGACGGCTGATCCAGACATATATGTACACGTCTGCACCATTTACTTTGTTCGCCTATTCTCTCTTAAGGCATATACTTAAGGTAACATTCTTCTGTGTTAATTAGTTTTAAAAACTTTGGTTTATAGCCATCTATGATAGTTTATAATTTTTTTAAGACTTTATTTATTTAGCGAGAGCACATTAGCGGGGAGGAGGGGCAGAGGGAGAGGAAGAGAGAGAATCTCAAGTACACTCCATGCTGAGTGGAGCCCAATGTGGGGCTTGATCCCATGACCCCAAGAGCATGACCTGAGCTGAAATAAGAGTCGGACACTTAACTGACTAAGCCACCCAGGCGCCCCTATGACAGTTTATTATTCCTAATGGCATGAAATCCCTAAATAATTAGAAATCTGTCATCTATGAATATTCTTTTACCTAAAAAACAACAAAAACCATTTTTAACCTTACCTGATAGATCTTAGCATCCCTCATTAGTTTTTCTACAGGATATTCTGTATTAAATCCATTGCCTCCAAAAATCTGCACAGCATCAGTAGCTAACTGATTTGCAGTATCTGCAGCAAATGCCTTTGCTATAGAGGCATAGTAGGTATTTCGGCGACCAGAATCAATCTCCCAAGCTGCTCTCTGGTAACTCAGTCTAGCTAGTTCAACTTTCATTGCCATTTCAGCCAGCAAAAATGCTATTCCTTGGTGCTAGAATTAAAAAGAAAAAAGTTTAAGGATATCTATTAACTTTTTAAAAGTTTTACTCCTAGAACTTTTTTTTCTAAACTTTAGAACTAATTTTAGACTTAAAAGTTACACTCTGCTGCCTCCAATGTTAACATATTACATAACCACAGTATAATGATCAAGAATAGGACATTAACATTACTAAAGTATTATCAACTAAACTATAAACTTTATTCAAATTTGGCCAAGTTTTTCACTAATGTCCTTTTTTCTGTTCAAAGATCCCATCCAAGATTTCAACTGTTATTTCTTCTTAGTCTTCCCCAGACTGTTAGATTCTTCAGTTTTTCCTTGTCTTTTATGACCTTAGCACTTCTGAAGAACACTGAATGGTTATTTTTTTGTAGAATATCCCTCAAAATTTGGGTTTGTGTGATGTTTTATCAGAGCTGGAATGAAGTTATGCATTTTTGGCAAAAATACCAAAATAATTATATGTATCCTCCTGGGACTTTTTTTTTTTTTAATGTATGTATGTATTTTTAAATAAACTCTACGCCCAACGTGGGGCTCAAACTCACAACCGCAAGATCAAGAGTTACATGTTCTACCTACTAAGCTAGCCAGATGCCCCTGCTGGGACTTTTTAAAGAAAATTATTATAGACAGATACAATGAAAAATAATGTCATACTGTATCAGATGCTGACAGAGGAAAGTAAGCACCATGACAAGGACAAATAAAAATGCTTCTTATCCTCCCTCTAGAAGTTCATAATCAAAGAGGAGACATAAAACAAACACCTTCAATAAAAGACAGTAAGTCTTCTATCAGTTGTACAGCCAAAGTGTTAAGGACAGAGATATGTTCACCATGTATCGGTAAGTGAAAATTTCAAATACACAGTATGGTTACCCCTTTGGAAAACTATATTCATAAAAAAAAAGAATACAGAGCAAAATGGTCACTGTAATTATCTCTGGACAATGGGATTATGGAGTTTTATTATTTAATTTTATTTATATTGTATCACATAAATTATTCTACAATCAACATGGAATGGAACATATGCTTTAAAATCATACACATTAAAAGAAGGCCTATAGGCATTTAGAAACAAGAACACTAAAATTATTAAAAAGATGCTTTGTATCGTAGGCAACATCAAAATGGGTTTTGAAGACTAAGAGGTAACAAAAACCACACAAGTTATGACTGTGTACAGACTAATATGCACCAAAGGTCACATAAAACAAAAAACTGAGCTGTTCAATTTCATATATTTACTGTATTTAAAAAAAAAAGTTGCTTGAGAGTAGCATGGTAATTATGTCTTAAGAGAAGGCAATTATTACCCAATATAAATAATTCCTATGTGGAACAAGGAGAGTAATATCCTCCCTTATTTCTACCTGCCTGATTGTGCCCATTCTTCTAAGCCAATGATTCTTTCAAGTTGTTTTGTTTTAGTTTTCACTCTAGTTTTTGAATAGATAATACATCCACCAGTTTGAAGGTCAAACTTTCCTCCTGTCATCCCTGCTGTCCCCAACCCCATTTAATTCCCCTTCTTGGAGGTAACCAGGTTAACTGTTTTTCATCTTCTGAGATATTATAAACATACATAAGCAAATACATCTATAGTCTCTTCCTTTTTTACAAATATGGTGGCCTACCATGTTGATGGTTCTTCATTTTGTTTTGCTTATCAATAAATCTGAGGGCTTTCTATAGTAATATATAAAGAACTTCTGTATACTTTTTTATAGCTGCAAAATATTCCACTGTATGGATGATCAACATTTTGGTTGTTTCTGTATTTGGCTGTTTTTATACAATGCTAAAATGAATAAGCTATAGATATGTCATATTGCACATATGGGAGTAAACCTGAAAGATACAAATGAAATACAAGTGTAGAATAACCACTTTTGATATATATTGCCAAAATGTGGTTCGTAAAAGTTATAGTGAATTATATTCCCACTGGCAATAAATAGAAGCCCTTGTACCACCACAGCTTTGGCAACCTGGTATAAGATGTCCATGCTTCTCCTATGAGATTGTGATGAAACAACCGCAGTGAGTCTCATTCAGTTTCTTTTCAGCCCATGCTTTGAGAAATCCTGTTCTAAACATAGTTCACAATCCCTGTAATGTCTCTGGCCTACGCATGACAGTTTCTCCTTTTGGTTTCTCTAACCCTGTCTATAAGCTCTCACTTAGGGACTTAATCTTATACGGCTCTATATTATTTCTTAGTATTTGTCTTAAGATACCTATCTTTGTCTTAAGATATGTATCCTATCTCCGTAGTAAAGTTAAAGGTTCCTGAGTACAGAGGCTACACCAAACTTCTTTTCTATTCCTGGAAACAGAACATGAAGTATGCAAAAGGACACACTCTTTAAGTGACTACCTGGGTTCAAATCTTGGTCTCATTATATATTAGGCGGACCTAATGTTTTACATGCAATAAATAGGACTAACAGTCCCCACTCCACAGTTATGTGAAAATTAAAGGAGTTAATATATGTAAAACCCCCAGAACAGTGCTTGGAACAGAGAACATATCCGATTATTAGTATTTTAATATAGTAGGTGTTCAGTTACTATCTGTTGAATGGATGAAACAGAAGTTCAGAGTGGAAATGTATTCTAAGTGCTAGGAGTATAAGGGTTACCAAAACAGAAATTCATAGCCTGTATGGCACTTACATTCAGATGGGAGAGTAAGGAGAGACTTATAATAAACAAACACATACATGATATAATGTTGAGTGGTGTTAAGAACTATGGACAAAAAAACCCAAGTGGGATTAGTATATAGAGCGTTGGAGGTGTTATTTTACATTGGGTGACGACGGTAGATTCATTAGTGAAATGAATGAGGAAGTGGATATTTGGGGGGGGGAGGGGAGTAAAGGTGAAGATAACAGCAAAAGGCCAGCATGGCTGACAGAAGTCCACTGTAAAGACTCTGTATTTTAATCTGAGTATGATTTGAGCACAGCAAGTACAGTATTAAAATTACCTCTACAAGCAGCTTTCCAAAAGTTTTCCTCTCCAGGGCATACTTGGTAGCTTCATCCAAAGCTCTTTGTGCTAGCCCCACAGCACCAGCTGCTACCTAGTATTTTAACATTTTACAAAGCATAAGTTCATGTTGTCTTTAAAACACAGTTCAATGACTATTTGCCTAAAATTCTAAGTTAAGGATTATATAAACAGAAGATGACCTATAGGGGAGAACAAGCATTTCAATTTATATTTTTTTATGAATTAAAGGCATTTGTGAGGCAGAGGATCATAGCCTAGAAAGTCATTCCTTCTGTTTAACAAGGGAAAGCTTCTTCGGGGAAATATTCCTAATGACTAAGGGAAGAGGAAATGAGCACATATCAGCATGAATGATCAAGTATGGACTGCCTCTAACAACCTAGCAAGGACTACAGCAATTTTATATTTGCTAAAACAATTTCTGTAACAGGCAGCAAGACAGTTGAAGAATTCTAAAAAAATAAAATGACAGTATCTCTCCATCCTTAATAAAAGTAGATATTAAAAAGGAAATACACACCCTCAAAAAAAGAAAAACGAGAAATACATACAAAATATACCATGTTAAAATAAAACTACTCAACGTAATAAATAAAAGATCCTCTAAAGATTGTCAAGTCATTGATATTACTTACTGGAGGTCTGGTTTTATCAAAAGCTCCCATTGCAATTTTGAAACCAGCTCCCTCACCAATTAAAACATTTTCTTTAGGCACTTTCACATCCTCAAAGACAATTCCTCTTGTATCTGAACATCGCTGACCCATATTTAATTCCTAATAAGGAAAACAATATATATTAAGGAACACTTTTTGGGCTAACATGAATTTTGCTTTAACCTCTGTTTTAGGATTTTCTGCAGTTATCTAAAACAGGGGTCGACAAACGATGGTTTCTAATACCTTTTTTCTAAAGAAAGCTTTATTGGACTACAGTCAATACCCACTTATTTATATATCATCTATGGCTACTTTCTTGCTACAATAGCACAACTGAGTAGTTAGGGACAGAAATCTTGTGCCCTCAAAATCTAAAATTGTTATAAACTGGATCTTTACAAAACAAGTTTGTCAACCCCTAGTCTAAAACAATGTTTCACAAACTTTGAAACCAACAATAGTCTAAAGGTCTACATGTACATATTACACTACAAAGACAAATTTCGTATGTGTGAAGGCTCTTTTTTACCGTGAATGTTAGGAAAAGCATTTAGCAAACATACTCTGATTTAGGATGTTTAATTTAGCTTAATGGAGCTAGCAAAGTAATGTACCAACTCTTTCTTAAAATTAGGTTTACTGAAGTGGAATTTACATACAGAAAAATTCACCCTCTTTACATATAAATCTCTAACAGTTTTGACAAATGTATGTGTGGAACCACTACCACAATCAAGATACAGAATATTTCTGTACCCCCAATAACTCGCTTGTGCCCCTTTTAAGTCAACTCCCTTACTTTACTCCCAACCTGAAGCAACCACTGATCTGACTTCGGTCCATTAATTTTTCCTTTTTCAGAATGTCATGTGAAGTAGAATGAGAATAACAAGTAATAAGTGCCTTCTGTGTCTAACTTTTCACTTAGCAGAGTGCTTTTGAGATCTACCTATATTGCTATTGCTGAGTAATTTCTTTCTTTTACTGCTGAGTAGTATTCCACTATAGGGATGCACCATATACCCATTACCTATTCACTACTGATAGAAATTCCTGTCACTCCAGTTTTTAGCAGTTATATAAAGTTGCTATAAACATTTGTGTATAGGCCTTTATTTTCATTTCTCTTGGATAAATATCTAGGAGTGCTGGGTATGTGGTAAGTGCATATTTAATTTTATAAGAAACTGCCAAAGTAGCTATATTCCCTTAACTTTTCATTTTGAAAATTTTCAAACAAACAGAAGAGCTATCAGAGTAATGTAACAAATACCTACGTACCCTTTACTTCAATTCACCAATTATTTTGTCACATTGGCTTTATTTCTGTGCTTTGTGTGTATAAATATTAGCATTATTTGCTGAATTATTTGGGAGGAAGTTGCAGATATGGTGACTCTTCTCCTTAAGGAAAAAAATTTTAGGGCGCCTGGGTGGCTCGGTTAGTTAAGCGACTGCCTTCGGCTCAGGTCATGATCCTGGAGCCCCGGGATCGAGGCCCGCATCAGGCTCCCTGCTCAGCGGGGAGTCTGCTTCTCCCTCTGACCCTCTTCCCTCTCGTGCTATCTCTCATTTTCTCTCTCAAATAAATAAAATCTTTAAAAAAAAATAAAAAACCCGTTTTTTATAAACAGTGTTTTTTCATTATATTGAGTGAGGGTCTAAGGCAGTAGAGCTCAAAGATTTTATTTATTTATTTGAGAGAGAGAGAGAATGAGAGATAGAGAGCACGAGAGAGAAGAGGGTCAGAGGGAGAAGCAGACTCCCCGCTGAGCAGGGAGCCCGATGCAGGACTCGATCCCGGGGCTCCAGGATCATGACCTGAGCCGAAGGCAGTCGCTTAACCAACTGAGCCACCCAGGCGCCCTAATCCTGTTTTTAATCAACAGCTTGAGAAGCAGAGGAAATGGGAGCCCAGAGCTGTAAACAAACTCTTTAACTTGCTTGCCTTAATAGTCATAGTCTGCTTCTAGGCTTGAAGAAATGGTAACAATAATATATAGTTTTACCAAGAAGAAACCAACATCTTTTTTTTTTTTTGCCTTTATAAGTCAATAAGCTCTACTGCTTTAGACCCTCACTCAATATGAGAAAACACAGTTTATAAAAAACGCTTTACTCTAGCCTATTTCCCAGACTCACTCCAAACACTAGAACATTTTTTTTTTTTTAAGATTTATTTTAAAGAGAGAGAGAGAGAGCCTGCGCTCCTGTGAGCCGGAGAAGTTACCGCAGGGAGAGGGAGAGAGAGCGAGGGAGCAGACTTCCCCACTGAGTGTGGAGCTGGTGGGCCTCAATCCCAGGACCCTGAGATCATGACTCAAGCTGAAACCAAGAGTCTGATGCTCAACTGACTGAGCCACCCAGGCGTCCCCAAACACTAAAACATTTAAAACCAAAATGCTTCCTGTATTTCCTCTTAAGCCAGATGACTTCTAAAACACAAAACATTTTAAAAACATCAAATTTCACAAATCTATAAAATGCCCATATATTTCAAAAAAAGATTTATGGAGGTTTAAATATATACAATATAATTATCTGTCTCTGTCACTAGAAGGTAAGCTCCCCAAGGGCAGGGATTTTTGTATTGATCCATATGGTATCCCCAATATCAGAATAGTGCCTAGTATGTAGGATGAACTCAGTAATAAATATTTATTGAATTAGAGATATTTTTTAAGTGAGAAAATTGGGGAAAAAAAGAGACTAGAAATAGCATGATAAAATCACAAGCGTGTTACAAGCGTGTTACTACTAAAAACAGTTTAAGCTGTTAGGTCCTTTACACTTTCTAGAAATGGCCATAAATTTGGCCCTAAGTTTCTAGCAACCATCCCTAAAAAGGAGACACGAATAGAACATAAATAAAAACAAACCAATTGCTTGGAAGAAGCACATCCGTTCTTACAACTTATATTCTGTTATATACAACCTCACTATAATTTCACTGGTGAAATATAGTCTACCTTTAATATCTACTCTTAAAAGAGAATATAGAAAAATAGGATTAGAAGTCACATTGGGCAAGTTCCTAGGATACTTTAGTAGTGATCTCAACTCCACCTCTAAGTATGTAACATTGAGTAAATCATTTACTTGGATCTCAGTTTCAACATTCAGTAAACAGACTGCAATAATGTGTACATCTTCCACCTTTAATATTCTGTGACCTCAAAGAGAAGTTACCCCTCTTCCATACTCTAGTAAATGCTTCCATTTTCAAGAGGCTTGAGTACAAGAGAGATATTCTGATGGCTTTTAATAAAACAGGATTATGTAACCTTTGGTAACTATTAATAAACTTCCATAATTTCTCCTTTTCCTTCAATATAGACATCATTTGGTCATTATTAGGTTTTCTTTTTCACAAACTCATTTTGCAAAGAAGAGTTTTACAGTTGTAAAATTGAGTCTCCTCTTCCTAGTCCAAAATTATAATCTTAATCCTATTTCCTTAGCTCTCACTAAAATGACTTTATTGACTTCATTTCTTCCTTCTTTGATTTGCTAAATCTTAAACTCTTCTCTTTAGTCTACTTTAAATGTAGTGCTAAGTCATCTCCACGCATCAAATTACAACCATTCTCAAATATGTTATATTACCTTTCCTTAAGTAAAATTTCTCGCTTTCCCACAAGGCTCTTTACCATTCTCACTTTCCTCAGGCTCAGATTTTTCTTTTCGTGTTGTTATATGATCTGGGGTATTGTTTTAATCAATACAATGGGCATAATGCCAGTTATCCTACCTAAAAGGCTGCTGTGAGGAAGGAAAAAGAGTGGGAAAATCTTCTGAAATATCTAAAACTCTATTATTGGGAAGGCCACATAAATGACAGCTTCATTTCTGCTTCATTATCCCTCACAGCTATTTATTAGCATTCCTTACAGACTGGCACCATGAACAACCAATTTTTCAAATAATGAATCAAACGGATTATTCTCAACTTAAAAACCTTCAGCTATAATATATAGACTATTTCACCTGATAACATCAAAACATAGCTTTATTTTTAGTGATGGGTTAAATAGGTGATGGGGATTAAGGAGCACACCTGTCTTGATGAGCACAGGGTGATGTATGGAAGTGTTGAATCACTATATTGTACACCTGAAACTAATACAACACTGTATGTTAACTGGAATTAAACCAAAAACTTAAAAGGAAAAAAAAAGGGGGGAAACAGCTTTATTTTTATTGCAACTTACTACAAAGAAAATGTTTTCAATATAGGAAACTGAAATAGTAATTTTGAAATTTATAGTTAAAATAGTATTTGAGGCCTTAATCACTGATGAATATATATTTTACCTTTCTTCCAATCTGTACTCCTGGAGTATCTGCTTCCACAATAAATCCAGTAAAGGCTTTATTAGCAGGAGCCTTTGGATCCGGATCAGAACGAGCCAGCAAGAAATACCTAATATATACATAGATATGATATAGATAGGATGACAGAGATAATGACATCAGCAGTTAACACATGGTGATGGCTATCTCATTTCATGCTCCTAACAACCCCAATTATTATTCTCCCGTTTTGCAGATGAGGAAATGAAGAATCAGAAGGCTCAAAAGCTTGCCCAAGTCACATAGTTATGATGTGGCAGAGCTAGTATTTTAACCCAGGTCCACTTCTCAACTAATATGGTATTTAACTTTTTTTTAGTAGTCTGAGTTGTAAGTAAAAATTCCTTGTATCAAATTATACAATATAAAAAGAAAAGTATGTGCCATACTGGAAATGGCATTTTTTCTTTCCCAAAACTAGTTTGATTCTTTAAGCGACAAGCTTTCTGGAAAAGGACAACAAATAGGGCTGCCTGTGAAAGGAATAATAAATGAGATAAAGACCCCTATATTCTGCCTACTGCCCTCTTTTTGCAGCAAAATCAGTGTTTTTTGTTATTGTTGAATTATTATGAATATTTGCTAGGTTTTCCCTCCAGAATTTTTCCCAGGAAGATTTTAAAATGAGACAGGAGGTATGCAAAAACATCTAAATGTAACCCATGTTCTTAAATAGCCTGACAGGAGAATTTTTTAAAAATTCCTTAAACAACAAATTTATTTTCTATGCTTAACACTAATAAATTATCATTCACTCTACATTTTACTTGATAATAGTAAAAAATAGTAAAAATTGTTTTCTAGTTTCATATATTACCTAATTTGTCTTACTACATGGGAGTTATACTTAATGAATTCTTAAAATTATGAAAACTTCTAATTGCACTGTTAGATTTCTCTCAACTTGTTAAATTTTAATAGTTTCTTCATTTTTCTATTACTTTCTGATATTACAATGACTTACTTAAAGATAATGATCTAGCCCTCCTTAATACTCGACGGTCATAAAGGGGTTGACAAGTATGTTTAAAATAAACAAATAATTTCCTGGTAGGCTCATTCCCAGGAATAATGCTTTACCTGCCAGAAAACTGCACTGCAGAGCATACACATGTATTGAATCAGAATTTCTGCAGCCCATTTAGTTCATTATTCCAATCACCAGAGAATCCTTGTTCTAGGAAGTCTCTATCTATATACTTGCAGTGATGGGTAAATACAACATTTTCCATGACAACTCAACACACATTGGACAGAACTGTTGTTGGAAAGCTTGTTCTTATGTTGAGCTATAGTCTACATTTTTCTAACTTTGACCCATTAATTCTAAACTGGCTTCCTGAAGCAAATATACAAGCCTGCTCTTGTGTGTGACATTATTTCAAAACTGTCAAAATTCTTCCAAAATAATCAAACTTAATTCCTTTACTCTTCACAGGACATGTTTTCTAGACTCTTCTTAATGAAGGATACTTACTTGCTTCTGAATTTATTCCATTTTGTCAATGCAGGTCTTAAAATGTGTCATACAGAGCCATTACCACTTTTTCCCTCATTTGTATTATACTTCTATCATTTCAGCAAGAAATTACATTACCTTTTTTTTATTTAGTAGAATGTTACTTTTTTTATTATGTTAATCACCCTACATTACATCATTAGTTTTTGATGTAGTGTTCCATGATTCATTGTTTGCTTATAACACCCAGTGCTCCATGTACATTACCTTCTTAAAGACAGTACATCACACTGTTGATTCCTACTGAATCTACAAGCATCCATTGTACTTTCTTCATCTTTTTTCCACAAATCATGGTATAGGTTCTTCAAGATTTTATATTTATGCAGGTAATTTTATGATCCTTTGTTGAACTTCATGTCATTGTTTTTGGACCTATACATTTGGGCTTTTACATTTTACTAAAGTAATATTCTGTCTTCTCTAAAAGACAATCTGAGTTTTAAGACTGTCTTTGTCTGTTGTTCAGAATCAGAGAAGTGTACTATACCAAGTTTTCCTTTTTCCTCAGTCTTCAGGGAACAGTTCCAGGAGATGCTAGTATGGGGTACATACAGTGGAGATAGTAAGCCAAGTAGATGGATTCACATTCAACCAAAGCAGGTGTTTCTGTTTTATTTTCTTTTACAAATTAAACTTCTGAAAAGTTAGTTTGAAGAAATAATTTAGGACTTAAAAATAGTTTTTAAAAATAACTGAACTACTTATGATCTTTTATGGACATTCCAGTTCCATGAATAAAACTTACCTTATTTTATTTTTTAAGATTTTATTTTTAGGGATGGGACAGAAAGAGAGAGCGAGCGAGCACACAAGCAGATACACAGTTACAATATAGTTAGTATTCATCTCCACTGTTATGGAAATCTTGAAGATAGGATGTCTTTGACAGAAAGAGAGAAAGAGCGAGCGCACAAGCAGGGGGAGCGTGAGAGGGAGGAGAGAGAGCGAGCACACAAGCGGGGGGAGAGGGAGAGGGAGAAGCAGGCTCGCTGGGAGCCTGACCATGGGGCTCAATACCAGGACCCTGGGATCATAACCTGAGCTGGAAGCAGTTGAGCCACCCAGGAGCCCCTAAAACTTACCTTAACTGTCGTGCTTTAATAATAAAGGAGAGTGGTGCTTTAATAATAAAGGAGAGAGGGACGATTCTGATATGAAGTAATTAACAAGCAATATACAGAGATGTTTTAAACAACATACCAATTTGCTTTTCCTCCATTGGTTATCCACATCTTCTGACCATTAATAATATACTCATCTCCTTTCCTTTCTGCTTTGGTCTTTATACCAGCTACATCAGAGCCAGCTACAGGTTCTGTTACACAGTAAGCCTTAAATATATGGAAACAATAATTTAAATTTTAATTATTAAATTATGAATGTTTAGAACCAGGAGTATATTTTATTTTTTAAGCCAGTATTTTAAATATGTTTAAATACCTAAAAATAAAATGTTCTCAGAGAATCAAATAAACTACTCAAATGTAGAAACATTTAATATATAATTTAAAACTAGATGTAAGATATCAATAAACCGTATCAATTAAAATGTAGATATCTTCAACCAAGTTAAATTCATTCACGTGTAATCATCCATTCAAATGTTTATTTAGTATCTACTATGTACCAGGTTATGAACCAGGAGATGGAAAAACCAGAGAGAAAAGACATCCTATCTTCAAGATTTCCACAACAGTGGAGATGAATACTAACTATATTGTAATTAAGTATCTGAATACTAAAGTCATACACAATGGTCTTGTGAATCTAGTTTAGCTTTAGGGTGTCAGGAAAAGCTTTCCAAAGGTGATGCTTCCATCAAGTCTCAAAAAGAAAAAGGAATTCTTTGGGGATAAAGAAGGAATGTGTATTCCAGGCAGAATAACATATGCAAATGGTACTGAATAAATGCAGGGTTACCCAGCATTTGTAATTCCAAAGTAGCAGAGTTCCATAACATGTAAATTCTGTGTATGTAAGGAAATTGACTATTTTCATTTTCACCCTTGACTTCATATTTTGGGTACATTTACTGCTATTATGCACTAGCAGGGGGAAAATGTATAGTAAACCTTTATTAATTCAGAAGTTAGAATAACTTAGGGACTACAGTAAATTTATTTTTATATATACTGAAGGTATTGATAAACAAAACAGCCAAAAAATGTTTAAAATACTTGAACTATTTTCAAAGATTTTTCTTAGAAATACCTATTTATAAGCAATAATTATAAATATTCTTATCAATGCATTAATGTAGGTTTTCCTAAGCATCTCTATGCTAAAATTTTTTAGCCTTTTTCTAGTATTATATGTGCTACAGAAAAACAATCTAAATGTGTCACACAATTCTTAGACAATATTGAGAATTAGCCTACTAAACTCTCATTCGTTGAAAACTTACCAATTAACTAAGAAATCTGTATAAATGTTTTTATTAAGCAGTTTGCCTAAAAATAAGGTACCTAAAATAAGAAACCCTGATTTTTAACTATTACTTTCTACTCTTTCAGACCAATTTTCACAATTAGTTCAAAACTAATAACAATTTACTGTATTTTGGTATCATAATCACACCCTAAGGTGAAATCTGTTCAACTGATAAAAAGAAGTCAAAATCCTTATGTAAAAACTTTCAGAATAGATCCTCAGTATGTGTATGTATATATGTATAAATACTTTTTTTTTTTTTTTTTTTAAGCAGGCTCCACACCCAATGTGGGGCTTGAACTCAAGATCCTGAGATCAAGAGTCATCTGCTCTACTGAATGAGCCAGGAGGGGGCCCCTATAACTATCTTTTTAAAATCTAATTTAAATATTTGTTGAGTAGTGCTCAGGGAATTATAATAAAATCTATAAGTATTCTTCCTAAGTCACTCATTCAACAAATAGAATGATAACTTTTCAGTCACATTAATTTCCTATTAGTTCAAAGGACTACTAGTTCAAACACCTACTGTCATACATTCAATCTGAACTTCCTGACACAATCACTCAGGTCTTCAACTGCAGAGTGCTCCATTAAATAGCAAATCTTTCTTTCTTAGAAATAAGATAGGAGACTGTGACACTTGCCTGGTACCCCAGAAACACCATTATACCTAAATATGTTGCTAACTTTTGTCTTCATGTGTTATAGCCCAGTGTACACATTTGTATTGGGAAGAAGAAATAGCACCCTTGTTCCCAGGCAGCAGCTGTGCATACTCACACACATTAATGGCTCCTCAGTCAGCCTCCCCAAATACTTCTTTTGTTGTTGGTCATTTCCAGCAATAAGAAGAGGCATTTGCTACCAAAGAAAAGTGACATTGAAAAAAGCAAGATATTTTTATTAGGTATGTACATTCAGAGATACTATAATTCAAAGCAAGAGAACTACTTTCTCCCAAGGGGTAAGTCCAAAGAACTGGCCTTTATTCTTCTTTAAGGAAGCTAAACCCATGAGGAATTACATCTGTGAATCCAGGATTTTCAAAAATTAAGTTATGTAGGACTTGTTGGTAATATGTAAAAATCCACTGTAGTAACATGCACAAAGAATTACATTTCGGACAAATGATGTGGTATGTACGATCAGGCCTCTTAAGAATTGCTAACTAAATTTAGCACTGCCAGCAGTGGCAGCAAGCCATCGCAATCCTTCTCTCCTGAATGCTTGTTTTTGGCCTTGCCCTTACCTAAGAATTGCCACTAAAGCAGCAAAGTATACAGTTTCCCTACAAGGACAGCTAGGACTCCAATTACTGGAGACAACAGGGACAGAATGATCAACTTAGGCAATAAGAACTCAAGTCTTCACTGCAGAATCTTGTGTTCCTTTTATTTATCTTTTTTTTTTTAAAGATTTTATTTATTTGACAGAGAGAGACACAGCAAGAGAGGGAACACAAGCAGGGGGAGAGGGAGAAGCAGGCCGCCCGCTGAACAGGGAGCCCGATGTGGAGCTCGATCCCAGGACCCTGGGATCATGACTGGAACTGAAGGCAGACGCTTAACGACTGAGCCACCCAGGTGCCCCTCTTGTGTTCCTTTTAAAGAAAATTGTGTTGTACCAACTAACGTAACCTAGCAGTACTGTCTCATTAATGGTTTACCTAGGCAATTAATTTTCTAAGAAACTTACCCCCAAAGAATTTGCTTCAATAGCAGTCTGAACCCCTGTACATCCATAAGCCAATTCTTCAGTAATTAAACAAGCATCAAAAATTCCAAGTCCAAGACCTCCTATAGTATCAAAATATTTTAAGACCCATTATAATATGTAATGTATCTTGTTAGAAATAAAGGTGAGCTATTTTAATTGACAAACTAAATAGTGTTCTGGTTAGCACAGTAACAAATTATACTTCTCTAAAATAAGTTTTAAATATTTCAAAAAATTTTCTATTTGTAATCTGGACCTGTCTTCCTGTTTCTACTTGGTTTTGTAAAAATTTGTTTCAACTGTGCGAAAACTTTGACTCTTTCACCTGAAGGAGTGACAGGTAAAACCAAAATGCAACAAATTGACTAAAGAGAAATTACCAACGTTTAGGATGAAGAAGGTTGAAACGAGTTATAAAGGGAAAACGCCTTGAAGTGCTAATACAAGGTTTCTAAGAACAGGCAAATACTGAAGTCTGAATAGAAAGATAAAGGTAGAAAGCCCTTTATTATAAATGACTTATATAAATGGCAGCTGAAAATGACTGAGTAGAGTTTTACCATCTTCCCTGTTCATTGTAAGGATCAAAAATGTGAAGAAAGCTTACCACAACTCTCTGGAATGTGTGTATTCATTAAACCAAGTTCCCATGCTCTTTTAATTAGGGGGACAGGGTACTAAAAGGAAAGAAAAAGGTTAAAAAAAAAACCCCTAATTATATTAAAATCTACATAGTTCAATTATATAATCTTATGAAAAATATAAAAAACTTTTTTCTCTTTAAAATGCATAAACCTACCTCGCCAGTTTTATCATATTCTGCAGCAACCGGGATTATTTCTTCCCTGGCAAATTTACGAGCAGTAGCTTGAAACTCTTTTTGCTGTTCAGTGAGCTCTAAGAGAGTCATTTAGAAAACATTAAAACAAGATAATGAGCTGAGGAAAAAGTCCTATGAAATCAGTATGTGAACATTTATAATGGCATCTTTAACTCTTGATTAACCAGAAAGTCCACAAATAAACCACAAAAACCACAATACACTTTTGGACTAGCAAGATTTCACTGTACAATATAAATAAACCTATGTCAATACAAGTACCAAAGGAGGTAGGTAAGATTTCTAGCTTTTACAAATGAGTAACAGACACAAACTTGTTTTTCTCTTCCAATTGGTGAGAGTAAAAAAAATTGTTTTTACTTGTTATTAGTTCCTAAGCAGATTTATCAAATGTTTAGTAATACTGAAATGAAACTAAATATAAGACACTTCCTGATCTCAAGAATCAGTCTAACTAGGAAGATGAGACATGCTCAGTGACCATAAGCCAATAAAACTTATTCCAAAATATCACATAAGAATACCAATACTACAATTTTACTCTTCCTTTAAACTCAGATAATTTAAGGTTATAAATTAGCACAAAGGAACTGGTAAAGTGGTGGGAGGGTTTCTCAAAAGTTAACAGTAACATAAAACTCTAACTCAATTATATAAAATACAAGGTTCTGTTGTTATAAAACTAGTGAAATGAATATGGCGGCTGGACTGAGGACAGGAGCCGATCACTTGGATTTTTTTCAAATCCACACTATCATTGGGTTTTAATGTGGTTGTGTCCAATGTCAGAGGATAGGTAAGATTTAAAAGAAATACAGGGTATTTGGGGTAAGAACAATAAGAAAAAAAGCAAAGAGATAAGAATGAGCAAGCATACTCAAAACTATAATAATCATTTGTATAGGGATGTGAGAAATAAAACGTAAAAGACGTGAGAATTTTGGTGTTGGATCAAACAGCCTAAAATCGAATCTCTCATTTTATAAGTAAGGAAACAAAAGCTCAGAATGAGGACACGATAGTCTCACAGTCTTACAATGAATTAGCAGTAAAAGTATACTTAGACTTTTGGTCACTGTTCCTCTACATCACAATTTACTTCAAATATTGGGACCAGCAGATACCAAAGTCATGGGTGAGTAAAGGACAGGGAAGGCAGGGACCCAGTTTGAATTATTCATTGAGAACCTACCTAAATCCAGTCACTGTGTACTAGGGACTTTATATATATCATATATTAATCTTTAGATAAATTCCGTGTTGTAGATATTATCTCCACTTTAGAAAGAGCCAGATACAACTGCCCACAGATGTTATCTCTAGTCCTTCACTTAAGCGTTACAACCTCTCTCCTTCCTCCTTACAACACTTGTATCTATCTCATCCTGTTATTCACAAACCATTTCTCCTGCTGGTTTCTTACTATTAAATACCAATCTCTATGTGACAAACTGAAACTAAATAGCAATTATACCTAACCTATGTTAATCACACAATAAAAGAAAATCCAACCCCCCAATGCTATCCTCACATGGCCTGAAATTTTCCATTTAATTCTCTTTAAAAAACTATAGAAAGCTCTGAGTTTGTCATTTTTATCTGGATATGAGTTTATTATCTGAGCTGCCTTATAACTATTTTCTGAGATCAAGAAACCGAGAAAATGGATTTTTAAAGGAAAGGTAATAATTTTGAAGCAAGAAGCACTTTAGGAGGTGATGGATGCTAAAAATAGGGATTATTATTTCAATTTTTTTTTTGTTCAGGATCTTCATTTTAGAGAGCAAAGGGAAAGAGAGATCTTATTCCTTTTCCTTCCAATACCACATGACTCCCTGATCCCAGGACTTTAAACCCTATCCATTAACACCAAAACTGCAATTCAGATATATTAGGGTCAAAACAGGCTTTACCTAGCGCTATGTATCTAAGTGTTCAAAACATATTTTTTGCATTCAAATTTCTAACTTGATGACTGTATGTATCAGTAAATTTATTATTTATTTTAGGGTTACATACTTAGGAAAAAGGGCACAGATATTTATGTCTGCTGCTAACACAGACCTCTACTTAGGAAATTATGCTGGAAAAAAAAGAGATCAGGAAGAATGGGTGTGACTAGAAATCTGTGGATGGTAATTGGTTCTATTCATTGACAGACATTACTAAGATGATTTACAAATATATTCCAGACAAATACATATATAATGCAATATAAATGCATGTATATAACAAATATGTTTAAAGTCAAAAGACAGAACAAAACATATACCAAAATTAAATCCCAATCTTGGTTCATGCTGTAGGGCAGCTTTTGTATGTTGTGATCTCCAGTCAAAACGAGAAAGACTTTTTAGGACCTGTAAAGGACAATTTTATTAAAATAAATTTGATAAATTAAACATCAAATAAGAGAATACTGGCAATTACAAGTGAGTACAGCAACTTGTTTGACTATACTCAAGAGCAGTTTTTTAAGTCATTACTTAAATACCTTCAACTGTAATTTGATTTCTATATTAAATAAGCCAAGTACAAGATGTATGAACACTTATTATGAAGGGAATTTTTTTTTTTTTTTTAAAGAAATGAAAATAACACAATCAGCAGTATTTGTACTACTGAAGTGGAGTGTCTCCGAGACAAACAATAGTCAGGGGTAGTAGCAGACTTAGGACTGCTATTCTGGAAATCTCACCTACAAGCTTTTGGACATTTGTGATTGAGAAGTTGGGGTGGGGGCATAAATAGGACGGTGTAACACTGTGTTCAAGAGTTCCCTAGTCTACCAACTTTGATACCCTGTCTCTGTGAGCCTCAGAGGTATGCTTCTGGGAATCTTCCCCTTGGAGGATTCCATTTTCTAAGATACCTCACTTTATTTAACAAAACAAATTAGCCTAAACTATGTTCTATATTTTCTGCTGTAGTCTATAGGCATTCTTAGGATATTCTAAAACAGTGGTCAGCACACTATGGCAGCCACCAGTTTTGTAAATAAAATTTTATTGACCACCATATTGTCTATTGCTGCTTTTCCAGCAGAGTTGTACAGTTGCCAGAAACCATGTGGTCCACAAAGCTGAAAATATTTACTGTCCCTTTACAAAAAAGTTTGCCAACCCTGTTCTAAACTATTGATATGCTATTTCTTAATAATCTGCAATATACTATTTAAAAAGTATAATCAGATATACATAATTGTTCCTTTGCAATCCATTTTTATACTCATGACAATTTAATGTATACAAAAGTAACCATTTGAGTTTATTAAAGTTAATGGAAACCATACTGTAACTCCTTCCTGAGTATGTTTAAGGACAGCAAAATCAGTTTATACTTCAAAGGATTTGATGCAAATATCCCTATGCAATTCTAATATTCCAAAGAAAAGAGAAACTGAACAATATACTAAAAGATCAAGAACAAAACTTGCTTATGTTTTTTGAAAACTGTGAAAAGAAGCTGTCCATTTTGTAGCTGACAACTTTATAATCACCTACATTTAAAGTGACAATAAAGATTGTCAAGTATCTTAAATAGATCTTTCAAAATACTTTATACAATTTTGAAAAAAAACAGTATAAAACTCCTATTTTCCTTGCAATTTTCATTAATTTTGGAAGTAAAACCTGGTTTCTCTAATCCTTATTGTTCAGTCATCATAGACCAAACCTATACTTGTTTACAGTCACATTCCACATATTAATTCACTGAAATCTCCAACTCAAGCCTAGGATTAAGGCACTATTTTTATTCCTATTTTGCATATGAAGAAACTGAGGCTCAGAAAGTTCAAGTGAAATTGGCTGAGGACACTATTAGGTAGTGGAACCAGGATTCTAACATTTACTATAGAGAATTCATACCATCAACCACCTTGCTATACTGCTCTTTCAATTTAAGTCTAATTGGTTTTTACATTCAATAAAGAAAAACATCCCACAAAAATCAGACCAAAAAAACTTGGCTCTTCTAAATGTGTTTAGACACCAGTGCACAAAAATCAGACCTCACAAAACAGGTAAAATAGTCTGCCGAGACTTTAAATAGGGAATTATTAGTGGATTTCAAATAATTTACTAAAAAGTTTACATATTATTTTTCAGGAAAATGTTAAACAAAATACAAAAGTAGCTACAGCCAGGGAACAATCCCCATCGATCTGCTAATGATATATAATGTTAGCCATTTACAGAGGTGGCTCAGTAGACACAGAAAATAGAAATAGTAGATTATTTGGATTTAAAATGGTTTAAGTCTAGACTCCACAAGTATTTTTCAGACTTTGCGTCAATTACAAACTTCCTGTAGCTTCTTTTCAAACCTGGAAAATGAGGCTTTTCTTACTGGATAATTTGTTGAGATGATTAAAATAAGAGTCTTGGACACATAATGCCATATAAATATTGATTTTATTACTTTGGGCTCTCTGCCCAGAACAATCCAATTCCAAATCTCCAAAAGACAGCATCTTCAATCAAGCCTCAATTCTGCAATAATAGCACAACTATAATTAAACACTTTTGTGTATTTCTTAGGAATAGAAGAATCTTAAATTTTATGGGAGTGTCAAAGAAGAGATAGAGGTGTAAGTTTTCTGTATTAGGTTTTTCTATATTTTTCCTTGGAGAGATTGAGAAATCGGTCTTTTTTTCTCCTGGTGTCAGAGTTAAAATTCATTTTTAAAATCCCTCGATTTCTGCCTTCAGGGCCCCCCCCTTTTTTTTTAAAGTTTTATTTGACAGAGAGACACAGCGAGAGAGGGAACACAAGCAGGGGGTGTTGGGAGAGGGAGAAGCAGGCTTCCCGCAGAGCAGGGAGCCAGATGTGGGGCTCGATCCCAAAATGCTGGGATCATGACCTGAGCCGAAGGCAGACGCTTAAGGACTGAGTCACCCAGGCGCCCCCAGGGCCCCTTAACTTGTATAGCAATAACAAATATTGGGCAACAATCCATTAGAATTCTTATAAATTCTAAAACTTCTACTCTTTTTGGGCCAAGAACATGAATTTCTTAACTCAATTATAAATGACATTGAAATGGCAGTTTTCTGTTAATATACCAATAATATTTAAGATAAACAGCATCTAAGTGAATGAGACAAGTTAGAATCTGTGAGTCACAACACTAGTATAGACATGCCTCGAGCAAAATTCTGCGGTAGGTTCTTTTTACTTTGTAATGTACGGAACATAAGCGGTCTCCATAGCCCAAAACCAAAAGCGTATTAAACATATTAAGCATCCCAAGAAGCAGGTGCTTCATTTTCCTTTTCCCAGTAACTTTGCAGGCGCCCAAGATAAGAATGTCTGAAATCTGCACTTGCACGATGAAATTTACTTTATGATTTTTTCTTGGGCTGGAGAGAGAAAGCCAGTAGAGTTTTCTCAAAAACATACTGCAAAAACAAGGCCTTTGCTCGTTGAGAGCCCCGCCCAGTTCAGAGACAGGTTCGCGTTCGGGAAAGGGTGAGATTCCTGGGAGAAATATTTGGAAAGTTCCCGGGCCAGAGGGAGGAAAAAAAAAGGACATTCTGAAAGTGACTGTCGCCTATATTGGTACGGGGGAGTCCCCCTCCCAATACCCCAGGACAGCGCCTATTTTCATACCATGCTTCCCTCCCTTCCACCCCTCCAAACACCACAACCTCCATTTTCCACCCCCACTGCGCCTTGCTCTCTCACCCCGCAGCTACGCCTAAGCACCGCGGCCATGTTGACTCGGGATCCCAGGCCACAGCTTCTAAGTCACAGCGCCGCGCCGAGAGTGCCAGGGTCTTCCCGGGCGCGAGGCGCTAGATCCGTTTGGCCCCGCCCAGACCCTGGTCCCGCCCAGACCCTGGTCCCGCCCACGGGCGTGGATGTGGGTGGGGAGGGAGGCGGAGCGGTTGCACCGAAAGGGGGCGAATAGGGGAAAAGGATGGTGGAGGGGGGAGTTGCGTGCGCGAGGCAGCGGGACGCTCCTGCAGCGTCCGTACGACCTTGGGGGGGTGGGGGAGGGGTGTCTAACGATCTCCTGGGGCCTAACGGGTCCCGAGGGGTAGTCCACAGAAAGGCTTTGTTTCCCTCGAGCCCTGAGTACAGACGACGCGACTTCTTGGTGAGAAGCGGACGGCGGTGCGGAGAGGGATCCCTGAGTCGCGTTCCTTGGCTGGAGCCGGGCAGGCGGGGAGGGCGAGGGAGTGGGCGGCGCGGGGCCAGCCGGGAATCTGGGTGGGAGGGCGCGGCCAGGGAGCTCTGCGCGGTCTGAGCCTACTCCTGCGGGAGAGATACCTCCCTGGCTGTCACCCTTGACCCTTGTCCCTGAAACCGGTAAGACGCACATCGGGTCTGCTTTAAGTAATCAAAGTACATTTTACTCTCAGACTCTGGTCCAAAGACCAAAGGGCAAGGGCTCCTGGGTGGCTCAGTTGGTTGAGGGACTGCCTTCGGCTCGGGTCATGATCCTAGAGTCCCGGGATCGAGTCCCACGTCGGGCTCCCTGCTCAGCAGCGAGTCTGCTTCTCCCTCTGACTCTCCCCCCTCTCATGCTCTCTCTCTATCTGTCAAATAAATAAAAAATCTTAAAAAAAAAAACAGGGAAATTGATTCGCTTAAAGTTGACCTTTTCTAATACTCCCAAGGCTATTTATTACCACCCTCGTGTGTGGATGTGCAGTGTCATTGGAAATAAGATGATCCTATCTAAAGCTCCTGGTTCAGCGAATGAATGTTGGAAGTGAATGTCCGCCTGAAGAATACTACTTGAAGTCATTCTCTTCCAGTTAGACCCTGAGTTCGGAGACGGAAGCTGTAATGTTACAGTGCTGGGGGTTTTATAAAGCTGTTCAGGTTTGGGTAGCTTTTTGCGAAAGCTAGTAAGAGCCCCAATGCAACGGGAGTGTAAATGTTACCTGTAATTCCCAGGACTTTTCATTCTCTCTTTTTTTTTTTTTTAAGATTTTTTTTTTATTTTTTGACAGCACAAGCAAGAAGAGCGGCCGGCAGAGGGAGAGGGAGAAGCAGGCTCCCAGCCAAGCAAGGAGACCCATGTGGGGCTCAATCCCAGGACCCAGGGTCATGACCTGAGCCTAAGGTATCCACTTAACCTTAAACCACTGAGCCACCCAGGTGCCCCAGGACTTTTCATTTTTATTGCTACCGTCCTAGTTTAGGCTCTCATCACTCACCAGTAAATCTTGTTAACTTGCTGAATAATCTTTTTTTGCCTGGTAAAGGCCAGCCATAATCTCATTCTAATTTAGTGTTTTAATTTCTATATCCTGTTATTGTAGTCTCTTACAGGAACCTTTCCACTTTGTCTTCTGGGGATTTATAATGTATTTATTGAGACTGGGCACAAGGCAGAATGTTAATTATGTGCTAACTTCAAAGTTAAAGTACCAGGGTAACTCGGAAAAGGGAGAACACAGTTTGTCCTGGAATCATTAAGGAACCCTTCAAAGAGGTGGGTAAAACACAAAGTGGACTGTTAAAGATGGGTAGGATTTAGTGGGGGGAAAAAAAAAGATGGGTAGGATTTGACTAATGCACCTCTAATTTTTTCAGTTTCTTATTCTGAACATTTCAAGCACAATGAAGATGAACAAAAAATACAAAATCACCATTATGCCCATCACCTAGATTTAAAAATTGTTACTGTCCACTCATATGTGGAATTTAAGAAACAAAACAGACGAATATAGGGAAAAAATAATTGTTATTGTCTTGTTTTATTTATGTGAGTATGTGTTTGGTGTCATTTTGTTTTCGTCAGAACCCTAAGTTAAAACATTAAGATACTTCACTTCTAAATACTTTAGCAGTACATCTCCTGTGAGGACTTGCCCTATGTAACTACAAAACTTTTATCACACCTAAGAAAATGAACTATTATTCTCTGATATCATTTAATATCCAGTTAATATTTAGATTTCCCCAGTAGTCCCCTAAATGCCTTTTGTATGTAGTTTGTTTTTGAACCAGGATCCTATCAATAATTACGTATTGCAGTTGGGTTTTAACTTTCTTTGGTCTCTTTTAACCACAAACTTTTAATCTTATCTCTTTACTCACAACTCCCGCCCAATAATTTTGATTTTTTTTTTTAAGAAACAAAGCCAATTGTCCTGAAGAATACCATATTTCTGAGTTGTCTGATTGTATTCATTTTTGTTTCTAAACCTTATATCTCCTATAAATTGCAAGTTCCTGGAGGCTTGAGTAGTTTACATTAAACGTATTTTGCAAGGCTACTTCTTACTCAGGTCATACTGTGTAATGTCCAGGTTTATCTCACTGTTACTGATATGTTTCATCATTTGATTAAAGTGCTAACAGGCAGCTCTGTTGCAAATTCCCTTTGCAATTAAGTAATCTATAGTGTGATATCACGTCAAATAGTATTTGTAAATTTTGCTCAGTGGCAGACATGGAATCAGCTCTTAATAAACACTTTTTTAGTTGGACACTGTTCCACAAAACTTTTACTATATTTTTAGGTGAAATAATTCAAATAACTCCCCGATGTTCCTTCAGAACCCTTGCCATCTCTCCCTAACTAATGGGAATATGACATAAAGATAGGTCATTCTTAACCTGGTGGTTAAGTGGTTCTTAACCTGGGACCCTTGAATAAGCTTTAGGTAGATGTGAAAATCCTTGGAGTTAAATGAAGAATTTGCTATGTATGCATATGTTTCTCTCTTTTTTTTAATTCTATTGTTATTCACCATACGTTACATCATTAGTTTTTGATATAGTATTCCATGATTCATTGTGTATAACACCCAGTGCTCCACGCAGAATGTGCCCTCTTTAATACCCATAACCAGGCTAACCCATCCCCCAACCCCCTTCCTCTCCAAAACCCTCAGTTTGTTCTCAGAGTCCATAGTCTCTCATGGTTCATCTCCCCCTCCGATTCCCCCCTTCATTTTTTCCCTTCCTACTGTCTTCTTTTTTTTTTTAAACATGTACTGTATTATTTGTTTCAGAAGTACAAGTCTGTGATTCATCAGTCTTACACAATTCACAGCACTCTCCATAGCACGTACCCTCCCGAATGTCCATCACCCAGCCACCCCATCCATCCCACCCTCCACCACTCCAGCAACCCTCAGTTTGTTTCCTGAGATTAAGAGTCTCTTATGGTTT